CTTCCAACGAGCAGAGTTACGTATTCCACGGCCGTTGTAATTCTGCAGCATATTTACGAAAGAAGTAATGAGATTTGTCTTTTTTCTGATTTCAGTGAATTTTTATTTAAATTTTAACTCTGCTAGTATTATTTATGATAGAGTATGTAATGTTGAACTTTCGATAGCAGTAGGGTGTACATGTACCATGATAAAGTTCTTAAGAATGTTATCTTCTCTGTTGGTTTAGATTTCGTCCTAACAGAGGAACAGAGAAGGGACATGACTCTGGAGGAGCAGTTGAAAGATCTGCAAGAGAAACTGGACATGACTCAAGCTATTAAACATGGAGGTCAGATTTGTGACATAATTGGTCAATGTTTGCCCCTGACGACGATCCCAGAAACCCTTGCGCAGTACTTTTTATTAACATTGATCCTCTGAATAGCGATTTAACTGAAGGATAACGTTATCCACTCTTAGAACAACTGTGTCCAGGGGCCCGTTTCTCGAAAGTCCCGGTAACTTAACGGGCCCGAAGCCATCTTTTAAAATAAAAATTTAAAAGATGGGAAAGCAGGTTATGACATCCAAACAAGTCCTTTTTGTTTCTTTAGCTGATAGTTTTATTGTATTGTTTTCAAAACTTTTGAAATTCCCATCTTGAATGACATCTTTTGATGGGTGGAATTTATTGGGTGGACTACTCGCATGGTTCGCATATGTTCCGTCCTAGTCCTACCCTACTGCGGTAATGCAGTGAAAATGGTTAGAAAAAAAGGAAATAGTTTCAAAGCTTTTTTTACAAATTAGCTCTCACCTTTTTTCAGGAGTTAGAGCTACAAGGGTGCGAATGTTACGTAAGGAAATAGCGCTTGTTAGGAGGAAACTTAACCAAGGGAAGAGACATCTGTCAGAATCAAGTGGTTTGTGATTTTCTTATTTGTTGTTTATTCTTTGACGCAGTGCGAGCCTCTTGTCGTGAACAATCGTGTTAGAGGATTTTGTGATGTTTTGCAAAGAGGACCCCAAACTTAGTGTTGAATATGTATCGTTAACTTGTTTAGAGTTTATTGTTATCACATTTCCCTACGTAATGTTATGTAACGAGTATTATTAATAAATTCGGTTATTCAGTTTAGGTGAAGTTAGGTTAGTGGTTGTGTATCTCGCGATTAAAGTTTTGTTCGCGGTTTGTTTTTTAACGATGTCTTTTTACTCAAACACAACGGAGTTCTTTTTCATTTCTACAGCATTCATTCAATCCTTCACACCCTTTAATTCCTAGAAGAGATCAACACACAACTTCTCTCTATCATATCCATTCAATATCCTGCAACAAACGGGTAATGAGAATACTCAAACTAATCCGGTATAAGCTGTAATCTTGATCTGACACCAAATTCTTGGAACTGCTTTACAAAGGAAATGTGGAGCAGCTAGAGGGGAGAATTAGCAATTAGATCTGTGAAGTTAGATAGCTTACATTAGGACTGCGTGAATGTTAGTACTTCATTGAAATATTCGCGGAAAAGTTATCGTAACGATAGTCTACCAACTGTTATCGTTTTTCAAGTTAAGCACGAGGGTCTTCAAACTTGATTCAAAGCGAAAACTTTCTTTGCAGAAAGTGCTCCAGAAAAGTAATAAAAACGTGAACAGAGATTTTTTTATGCTGATCTTGGCTTTGTTGTTGTGTTTAGCTGGCGGCCTGGACGGATCCATCCTCAGCGAGACTTGTCTATCACCACTGGAATACGAAGAGCCGTTGAAGAAATTCAGACCTATTGACGAGAACGACTCTCTGAACGGCACACAGCCCACCAAGAATCTGGACACTGAAGAACATCGATTGGCAGGGGACAGCCTCCTTAATAGTAGAGCTACTGCCAACCCCAGCCCTGGGACGAGCCGGCGCAGCGGGATCTTGTTCAACAAGGGAAGGCACAGGGCCAGGCGGAATCTTTCGTCGGGCGCCGACAAGTTCCCGTTTGATATTCTGCCACCAGTGAATCACATGTTGAAGACAGCAGACTCAGATAGAACGCTTGACCCTGTTAGTACGGAATGCCAAGTGACTGAGAATCTGCCTACGGATGAAGTAGGGGAAGAAGATACAGTGTTCGAGGACAGGCATCAACCAGCTCCCAAAGAGGAAAAGAGACCTCAAAAACGACACTCAACAGACAATGATACTATTTATGTACCAAAGAAGACGTATAAAACAGAACTCGGTAAACTGATCGAAGACGCTACCCTCCCCATGTTTGACACGCACTTCGCGTTTGCGACGAATGGTCTGCGGCAGCGGTCGAATCGGTCGTACACCAGTGGATCCGAGTCGGACATAAGCGATGTTAGAGTGAATGGCATTCGGGCTTCTCGAGAATTGTGTCGGAAGTTGTCGGTATTTTCCGAAGATGAAGAGCTAAGCACCGATACGGAAAACAGTTCGGCTGACAATCGTGTAATGAACGGACCAGTGGATGGTAGGAAGGAAAAGAAACCCGCGCCAAGACCTCGAAAGACGACGTCGGATTCGGATATTGCTGATCTTCCTCCTCTGCAACCGCTGGATTTGGTTTGGGCAAAGTGCCGTGGATACCCATCCTATCCGGCGCTGGTAAGTACTTTTTTCGTGGGCAGTTATCTTGTTGCGTTATTGTGGATGGGTTTAGTATAAAACCGAGCAAAATAATAAATGGCGCAGTGGTAGCGGCAGAGCGAAAACCAGGGGGGCTCGGTCGGGTCATAACGCGACCCGGCAGAGGCTTCACTCGTCAGTCCTCGCCAATATGAATGTAGTTTAGTATGTGCGATATTGAGACAAGCGGCCCTAGGCTTGTTTGAATGTGCGAGTAAGGTCAAGATAATTTGTTTTTGTTCACTGAGTTGATGAGCGAATTTGCTACCGAAAAGAGTTTCTAGGTTACCGTTTCGAGCGTTGGCTCTTCGTCAGAGCGAATGGCGGAATTGTGGGTTGTGTTTGTGTTAATATGCAGAAAATGGAACTCTTCAGTTATTGTAAGACCCTGAGTGCTGGACCAGTCTGGGGCTTGAACCCTCCACCTCCCGCACGGCAGTCCGGTGCTCCACAACCTGAGCTAACCACGTGGTTAAATTCGCACTGTTTACTATCGTGCTCGTTAGACAAACTGAAAGCATTAAAAACAATTACTCTTTAGCGAGTGTGAGTATGATATAGGACTGCCGTCACACCCTAAGATCAGTGTGCGTATTCTTCATACCGTTCTCTGCAGATTTCTTATGACACTGACAAGGAGAATTCGTTTGACAATCAAGAGCTTCTGTTGAGGTTCTCTTCAATTTCAATTTTCACATCCTCGTAAATACATGTCATATATACGTACAAAACAGTTTAGTATATTTTACTTTTACTTTTATTTTATTTTTTCTTATCATCACAATTACTCATTTATTGAAATTCACGTGCATCAAATTTATTTAAGAAATCAATTTCTGCCCTATTTCGCTTTGTGTCCTCGACTTGTCGTCGTAATCCGGTCGGAATTTCCGCCTTATGTACAGTTCTCGGCTGGAGAACTGATGAGTACACCTTAAGGGGTGGTGATGATGCATAGTAGGGTAGGGTAGGGTAGGGTGATTGGTAGTAAACAAACAGTATTACAGGCTCATTTCATTTATTTACTCTGTTATGAATAGATAATCAATCCTCGCACGAAGAAAGGTTTCCTGCACCATGGCGTGCCCATTCCTGTACCACCCGAGGATGTGTTGAAGGATAGGGCCATTACCGACGAACATCTCTATCTTGTACTGTTTTTCGACGCCAGACGAACTTGGTAAGATTTATTTATCGAAGTCCAAAATCCCCTCAATATTTTGACTCGTATTGCTTGTAATGTCTGTAATATCCTGTTTACTACGCCCGCTGCGATGGGTTAGTTTATAGAGTACAGATCACCAGCAATTAAATCTGGCCATGTTTCCTTAAAAAAAAGGGAAGAAAAACGCTTTACTCGAGCCCAGTGTCCCACTCAGCGACCTGGCGTATTTTTACTCAGCGATATGAAGCGACCTGGAGTATTTTTACCCCCCCCCCCCCCTCTAGCATTGTGCCAGGCTTCCTTGACTACTCGCCATTCCCATTTTTACCCCTGAGTGGAGAAAGGCACTTTGAGACTAAAGCGTCAAGACAACGCATTGATCTGGACAGGTTTCGACCCAGGACTTCTCGATTCAGCGGTACAGCGCACAAACCATTAGGTTGCTGCGTGTTCTACCCTGTACGAAATCTCTGTAATTTATCGCTAATTGTGAAAGGCGCCGGTAAGTTCATTTTCGCATTTGGTTGGATTAGAAGGCCGTGCGTGTTCTCTAGTTTTCTCACAGAGCGACGTGATGGAAAATCAATTTGATCCTAGGTCACTCTCGGCACTGACTGACTTGATAATTATTTTAACGCTTGGGATTTTTCTGACTTAAGGCAATGGCTACCGCGTCACAAACTCGAACCACTGGGCGAACATAATGAAAGAGACCAGAACAAGTTACAGGAAGGTCGGAAGACGTCCATGAGGAAATCTGTCATGCAGGCCTACCATCGGGCCATAGTTCACCGAAACCAAGTGGAAAGGGGTGACTCGCGGGACTCCGACGACGACGATGGTGATTACGAAGATGCCGACAACAACGACGAAGACCAGCGAGTTAATGAGAATGGTAACGAGGTCGAGGACGAGGAGAGTGACAATGAAGTTGACGACATCGGTGAATGCGAACTAGAAGAAAATGGATTTGTTTAGGAGCTGTTTTTATTGTCACTGTTTGTTAGATTTGTTGATAGTCGTTTCCATTGGATTGATTTTAGATGGGATGTAGCTCAGATACAGTTTAGAGGGCCTCCTACAAAATATATTTTCTTCGCATGAAAATAAATCCTTTCGCGGCTAATCCTTATCGATACGAGAGTGCACCCGTTCACATGCAATTTTTTATGCTACAAAGTTTGACATCCAGGAGTTTATGAAGTGTTTTTCTTTTTTTTTAATTCTGACTTTGATTCAAAATGACACAGGAACAAAGGCAACTGAGGGTTTTTTCGATAGAAAATGCATCCAGATGCCCTATGGCAAGCAATAAAGTACATGTTATCATTCTAAAACGTCGCACCACAAATTTGATTTGTACAATTGTATTTATACGTAGAAAGCAAATCAATCTGTAAATGTTCTACTATTTTTTCTGAGACAAACGTTTTTTAACAAATCGAGTGAAACCCGTGGAAGTTATTGCTTTGTGTATCTACCCTTCATTCGTGTTGTATATCTTGTAAATCTGTACAACCCAGGGTCAATAAACTCGTCTACTGTGATATTGTTGCTGTTTGGTTTGAGTGTAACGGCGCGCCTCGGGTGTCAAAAAACAAAAACCGGAAGTTATTATAATAGCCAATCCTAGTAAAGTTGAATATCGCGAGCAGCGAATAAAAACCATCTACTCATCAAATGCCTCAAGCGCGGGAAAATGTGGCTGAGCAAGTTAAAATCCATTCATTTAATTGGTTGAGAAGGGATGAGAATTTAAGACTTGGCAGAGTGCCGAGTAAAACCAATGCAATTGAAGCAACATCACCAAGACAGCCTCCTTGTGCGAGTGCGCTTGTACAGATCTGTAACACTAGCTCACAAGGGACACAAATGCGTTGACCTCTTACAATGCGACTGCAGTTTTTCCAAAACTGAATTTCATTTTACTTTTTTTTTCTATTGTCTCTTAGTCCACTCCCAGAGTACAACATTGGGGACTTTCAGTCACGAAATCAGCAGACAATCAATGGCATATATACAGCGAAATCGTGGTCAGTTGGATACATGCATACCATTGCTGCTTTCAACATTGCTATCAAAGCGTACTCGCCGAGTTTCGCATTCCATGACAATTCTTAATGACCCCCAATTTGGTTGCTTCCCAAAATGACACGTGCACTGTTTGCACGATCTTTGATCGCAGTCTTTTTACATTGTCCTTTTCCATCCATCTCGCACCAAAGACGGCATCTAACTCTTTAGACGCTTCACGTAAGATTTGCCTGACAGCTGTCTCGAAATACGCCCAAAAATGTACTTCATATCTTCGAATGCGATGTCCCAGGCATATCAATATCAACAGATCCGTCACTCCCTCCCAGTCCACTAACGGCCAGCAGTTCAGCTGCTCCTGCGACTTCAGGGGGGAGACCTCCAACGCCGGTGATATTATCGAGGTCAAAGTCCAGCGAGGAGTCGACATCAAAAGCCCCTAGGAATTGAAATCGCGATTGACATGCAATTTTTTTCCAAAAGTCAATACTGAAATTATGTTTGCCCAAAGTTAAGCCTTCCGTAACGCTTTAATCAAAGTACGTTGAAATATATCGATACGCCAACATAAGGGCCAAATCTGTGATTGTGCATAAATTTTTTTCGTTTAAATTAAGTGTCTAACAAGTTTGTGAGACAAATATCCATTTGACTAAATTTTCAAAGTACAGTAGAACACCGTTAGCTTCAACTCCCAAGGGAAACAAAAGTGATTCGAGTTGGTCGAGGTTTTACTGTACTTTGAAAATTTTGACTGAAAAAAATGGGTCAAGGGAAATCGGATCTTGTTCGAGTTACCAGGGGGGTTCGAGTTAACCGAGTGCGAGTTAGCAGGTTCCACTTTAGCTTCCATTTCCGATAAATACTATTTAAGATCCGATAAAGGACGGCAGAAAGCATTCGGGAAGGCTGCTGACGTCACTATAAAGAATAGCATGCGCGTTACATACCGGCAGTGCCCGCAATACTCGGGTCTACGGCAGCACTGGCATCAAGGGCCGCGTCGATGTCGAAACCTGGATCTGACACGTCCAGCCCTGTTACTCCAGTTCCTGAAGGAAAAAAAAAAACATAGCAACACTTGGATTAGCTCTTGAAAAGGTCAAACAAAATAACGTCGAAAATAAAGACTCGACTCTCTGGAGTCAGATTCCGGTGCGCTTCTGCCCAATATGACTCCATTTTCGTTGTTGTTGTTGTTGCTGTTGTTTTTCATCAACCACATACATCTAAGCTAAAATTGTAACCGTACCTAAACCTGTATCAAAATCCAATGCCGCAGCACCTGACACGATCCCTGGTGGAAGATGAGATGCTCCTGAAAGATTCTGGAGAATACCCTCCAAATCTGTCGCGTCAGCACCGGCTGCTCCAATATCGAACAAATCGGCTGTGGCGGATAATCCCTCGATTTCCGTAGGAACGATCCCTAGCCCGCTTGCAGCAGCTAAAGAGTCGGCGCCCGTCAAACCAACATGTTGACCAGCGGCGGAAGTACCCGCTGCCACGACCACTGACCCATCTAGCCCAGCAGTTACATCTGGGAACGTAGTTCCCATGGTGAAGTTCGCAGCGGAGACGGCGGCAAGATCAAAAGGGAAGTTGTCTCCGTCCATTGACTCCGCATCGGGCGTTTCTTTGCTTTTCGATGCCGTTTGCCCGACTGGTGTTTTTTCTGCGCTCTTCGGGACTTCCTCGGGCACTTGAAAATTCTGAATGACATATTCATCGGCTCGCTTTCGTTTAAGGGTGATCTTCAAGTTCGGCAGTGTCGGTGTCTTTGCGGCTTCGGGCTTTTTTTCGGGTTGTTTGACGGCCGTTGTAGTCACAGAATCTGCCGTAGCTGCTGTAATGTCCGTTGTATTAAAAGAAAACGTAGGAGATATAGAAGAAAATGTGAACGCGCTCAACGTGGGTGAGGGTGTCTCCAGGGTGAACCCTGAAAACGACGGTGACGTTCCCAGAAACACTGGCGTGTTGGGGTTGGATGGAGTCCCCACGGTCGCACCGAACAGAGCGGCACTGGGAGGGAGTGATAGACTTGCTAATTTGGTGGATGGTTGCCCCCCGCCAACAGGAAGTAGAAGTTCTTCGCTTGCCTTTACCGGAAGTTCCTCTAGTTTAACGCTTTGTGCTTTTCTAATGATGCATCGCATCGCAGCTGGGATTGAGAGACACCTGTCAATAACAGGAAAGATTTCATTTAAAACAATAGTGAAGAAGGGTTGATTTAGATATAGCAAGGAAGGACTAAGTGACCTTTAGACTGTGCCCCCACCCCTCCCACCCCCATTTGCCGCGCTCTTACCATTCTTAAAATATCGACTGGCATGTTTAGCGCATGTCAGCCACCATCAAAGTTATCCAAACGGTGAAACAGAACAAAACAATATATCACACGGAGCCAATGAAAACTCAAAACTTTTTACCCCCTAAGAGTGACCAGTATCTAATTTTTTCCTTACTGCTGAATCATTCATTAAGATCATGCGAATGAAGGAAATGATCATGCGAATGATCGCCTAGCTTAGAAGCTTTGATTGTTAAACAAATTCATAATATATCACAATGGAGCACAATGAAAATTCACAATATATCACACGGAGCCAATGAAAACTCAAAACTTTTTACCCCCTAAGAGTGACCAGTATCTAATTTTTTCCTTACTGCTGAATCATTCATTAAGATCATGCGAATGAAGGAAATGATCGCCTAGCTTAGAAGCTTTGATTGTTAAACAAATTCTTCCTGTCAGTATCAAAAGAAATGCACAGGAATGGGTATGGAGAATATGGAAACTAACGTTAGGGTGTGAAAGGCAAAAACAAAAACAAAGACAAAAAAAAAAAAAAACAGGCCAACTTCCCTACAAACGGGAAAGTCGCAATTGGTTGAAGTTTTGAATCTGATTGGTTAAACGGCTAGCTTATGTTCTCTTCTCAACCAATCGCAAAGCGAAATACGGAGCAGAAAATCCCGGAGAAACAAGAGCGCTCATGTTAGAATTGTTCTTTGAAATATAAACCTTCCAGAGCGATGTATCTACTTCCTTCCTACCTCTGAGTGACCCTGGAAATATAATCATTTGAACAGAACAGTGGTTTTCCAGGCACTGTTGTGAGAGTAGCTTTGACCATGTCATCCTCAGAGACGAAAAAGTCAACTAGAATAAAAAAAATAGGAGAGCGGTGAAAAATTTTGAAAGGAATTCTGAAGGAGCTTTGTTCTTGGGAGATGCATGGTGTTCTAATGGTCAGTGACAGGAAGCCAGATAACGTGTCCTGGTTTAAGTGCTTTTGAGTGTCACTCTAGTTTGTTATTAGAGAGGATCTTTTCCTCCATCATGGGTGAAAGAAAAACAGGTTGACGAGCTAATCCCGATTCCTATAGCAAGAAGCGACTGGTAGTATCACTAAGTCCCCATGGATAAGATGCCAGTCCAACAGCTCTTCAGGTTTCTTGACAATTGGCCAGTATCCTTTTATACCGTGGAGAGAGCAACTGTGAAAACACAGCACAATGACCCGACCAGATTTCGAGCTCGGACCTCTCAAGCCGGAGCGTCTCCCTTGGCGAAAGAGGAGTTGCATAAGTCTCGTAGCGATGCAAAGTTCCTCGACTGACAAAACATCCCAACATAACACCAAAAACAAAGGGTATATCACGACCCACAGATCGAAGAAATGAAAAGTGTGACCCACATTGGAATCTCTTTTGCAATAGTTGTTATTTGCTCGCGTAAGGAGTGACTGCAATGGTACAGTTAACCCTTAAGAGTGACTAGCATCTAATTTCTCCGAACAATATCAACGTTGTATCACACAGAGAATAAAAGAAATGATCACTAACTAAGAAAGCTCTTGAATGTTAAACAAATTCTCCTCGTCTGCACCTTAAGATATGTACAGAGAACAGTATGGAGAATCTGCAGACTGATGTCAGAGTGTAAAGGGTTACGATATTGGCGTAAAAATGTATCAGATCTTTTCAGAGAAGTTTCAGTTTGTGCACTTACTTGACGCCATGCTGGATGTACAAGGATGTTCAAACGTTACTGTTAAGGTGAAAGGCTCTGATGATCTCAATTCAAACAGGTAGTCTTCGCTATCAGGTTCTAGATAAGAACGCATAAAAGAAACGGTTAACGTTTAAAGTTGACTGAACAGAATTTCGATTCGAGCAATTTTCAACTGAATGTCGACAGCAATCCGAGACTGCATTGGCTTTGTATTACTTCGCTCTCTGATTGGTCCACAAAACTCGTGCCACTCTTTCAATCAATCAGATACAAAACTAAAAGCAATCCCTGCATGGTCGCTGGCGTTTTCCCGCGCTTTAGGCAGTTTGGTCCTTTTTACTTTGAGTCGATGGAAAAGCGCCCTAAACTGAACGAAACGGCCACACCAAAGGTCACGTAACTTTTCACTGTTATACCCATACATTAGCTAGCAAACAGGTGATGGGAATACCAAAACTTATCAGGTAGAAGTTAATATCTTGCTCTAAAACCAAATTCCAGTAACTACTTTACAAGGAAATGGGTAACAGCTAGAGGGGAGAATTCACTATCAGATCTTAGGAGGNGAACTTCTCCTTCTCAACCTTCCACCCCAGACGTTATACTTAATCCGAAGAAGGACGAGAAGAGAGACGGGGGGATGGGGGGAGAGAGGAGAGAGAGTTTAAGGTACTGCTCGATACCGTACCGGTAATATTTCCGGAATATGACTGGGGTGTGTAAATCCAATCCTATACAGCAACAGACCCATCCCAGAAGGCTGCACGAGCTCCTCCGCTGTTGATTGGTTCTCTGTGACATGATACACATGGTAATGCTGTGGTAAGCTCTGTATGGAGGGAGAAATGGCAAAAAGTAAGAAAGCAAACAGAGATAACATGCGTTTTACTTTAAATTCAAAGTTTCGTGTTCCAACGCTTCGTTCAGCTCACACGATTGCCAAATGGTGGAAGAAGCTTAAATTTTTTCCGCGGTTTTCACAGATGAGATATATTCCCGAAGGGTGGAGGTTAATTAATTTCCTGGGCATATCTCAACCGGATACAATTCCGCCCACTTACCGCGTAATAATTATTGCCATGGTCAGTTGATGAAACGCCTCTATCTTTTAACCACTGCAAAAGAAAAAAACAAAAACAAAAACAAAAACAATTATAAAGTGACAAAATGTCTGAGGAGCATTTCATTGCCAAAGGAAGCAGTTTGATAACTTGCGAGCGCCTGTGGAAGGGTTTTGATAAATAAATTACGGTGTTCAAATTCCAGAAGCTTTTGAACAATTTTTGTGTATCACAATCGCTACTTCTAATCTATTTATGGACCTTGATAGAAAAAGGAAATTTTATTTTCAAACAAATCGGTGTGTTCATTTTTTCTTCTCAAGTTTGTTTGGTTGTTTGTTTGTTTTCGGGTTTGAGCTAAGGGAAAGTATTGTTTTCATCAACAAAAAGGACCCAAAAAGCAAGAAGATCCGCTTGAATTTTTGTTCTTTTTTAAACCTCCCTCATTTGAGTTTTTTGTTTTTGTTTTTTTGCTTTCGGTCTCATGGCGGTAGTAGTTAGCCTTACCTCTCTTATTATGAGGCTGTCGATTGGCACCGTTGAGGAATGGGCAAACGAACCTTTTCAAATAAAAGAACTCATCAACCTCACCCTTATTACTGTCAGCCCCTTTTTCAACGTCATACTGTTGCTTATGCGCTTACTCCAGTTCTCATCAAAAGTCACTAAACTAAGGAAAGGCATTGAATAGACCACCTTTTGACCAGGCTCTTGTTTGCATGTAAGATCCCGTTCCCCAATGAACCAGCCTGTTTTTGAGGTCTGGGCTTACCCTGGCTAGTCACCACTGACTCGTCCATTGTCGTCTCTTACTTTTAACACACACGGACACGGGGGGTCGAGAGGGGTTGGCACTACCACGACGAAGGGGACGATGGGAAAGAAGAAGAGAGAGTAGAGACTCTCCTTTTACAAATTCCACCTTTCCCGCGCGCACCTCTCGTGTGCATCCCTCGTTAACATCTTAAAACAGAGAGATGACTGGGAACAAGTCAAGGGTCACCGTGTTGTGTTCCTGGGTCAGACACTTTACCCTCACAATGCCTCTATCTACCCAGGAGTAAGTAGAGGTACCGTCGTCAGGGAAACATGACAAAGAGCTACATGTAGGGTGGTGGCCCGGCGATAAACTAGCATTCCATCCAAGAGGAAGTGGACATGCTTCCAGTCGCCTAATTCTACAAAAACTTGGAGTAAGTACTGGCAGTTATGGGCATTTTAACCTCTAACAGTGAACCATATTGAACAATATTGGATCATACTGAACCATATACAGATTCTCTTGAAAGCCCTGAGAAAATCCCTAAAACCAAAGGATCAATGTCAGCATGTGATCAACTGCGCACTTACCCCTCCCCTAGCACTGCAACAGTCAACTGATAATAAGTTAAGGCAAATGTCGGGTTAGGGGAGGGGTGGGTGAACAGTTTCTCAGAACACTGACAGTGAACAACGCTCGAACACTAGATACTTTCAATGAAGATTCCTTCCGTTTCCATTTCAACCTCAATTTTTTTTCTCATCGTCTTAACATCACCTGGCCACCTTATTAGGTATCTCCCCCGAGTTTGTACCTGTTTTGTCAATAACTTCGTGAATCTTCTGCACAATCTCTACTGCTGCTGGTAATGGCTTACAAAACTCCAGCACAAAGGAAGCTTGGAATTCTTCACTGTTGTTGTCATTCAGCACCTGGTACTTGATGCTGTTACAAATGAAATTAATCGACATTATGGTGCTATAACTTAGTGGATGAAAGTCCTGGAAGAGTAACCAGTGAGAGTGACTGAAAACTCCATAACCGGACGAATGGCCTTAGCGCTGACCTTAATACTCAGTTCTCAACGACCCAAAGGGGCAAGAAAAAGAAACAAAAGGGAAAAACAAAATTATTGACACACAGCTTATTTAGCCTCACCTCGGATCCAGTCCCAATATACTGTAGCCAACAGGTTCGGTAATAAGTGGACTGATCGGAAGAGATGTGTTCTGGGATTGCTCCAGTGACACGTATACTTGGTAACCAAAATCTCTTGGAGGGGGTTCTATCATAAAAGAACTTAATTAACTCACTTTGTCAAATTAAAGGCATTTTTCATTTGTAAACTTCCAACCGAATGTCAAAGGTAACGCTAGGCTCGATTTCTACCGCTCTGTCGGGGAGGAACGAAAAAGACCGGTTCCCGAACAGCGTCGGGTAATCGACCCTAAGGTAACGCAAGACCGCTCTGATGTTGCTTCATTGTGCTTTGTGATTTGTCTATTAAACTCACGCCACACACCGCTCTCGACCAATTAAATGCAAGACTGAACCGATGGCGCCTTGGTCAAGCGCGTTTTCCCGCGCTTGAGTTGATCAAGTGTATTTGTATTGAATTCTCATTGACTACATGTGGTGTGAACCCTTGTTCTGATTGGTTGTTGGGATTGCTCTGTGTCACTATTTAAAGCTTCACCAAAATTCGAAAAAATTATCCTAAACTTTCATCCTGCTTAAAAAAAAAGTGTTCGCTCAACAAACACCTTTGTCACCACACTAACCCTAAAGGCAAAAATTAACCCACGGTCATAGTTAACCAAACCTCTTGCAGGACATTTGGAAAGCTCATTGCGCATACTTTTTTCAATTTCATTTTTTTTTTTCACACCTATCAAGATATTTTAAAGGCTACCATGAGCGCTTGTCGTCAAATTATGTCTTTACCTTCTCTTGTAAAATATCGATCTTGTCCAGGTCTGTTAACATCCACTAACTCATACGGGGAAGCAAAGTAACACAGACGCATTCGACGACCTGTGGAGACATATGCAAATAGCCTCGATGGACCACAGTTTCCTTTTAAAAAGCACTCTCTAAAAAAACATTCCAGTATAATTTCCCTCTTCGTCCTTCCCTGATTTCTCACACCCTAATAAAACCGAAAAATTACCGAAGATGCTCCAGTGGGTTCCAAAAATGGTGATGCTTATCCGATGTCAATCGAAAATGGCCGAAAACGTTCCGATGACATCCCATACTTGTTAAAGGTGGTCCAGTGATAGCTCTAGTTGGTGTCAAGTGTTACAAACTAAATGTGTAAACAGTAGTTTGCCTGTAACTGTGCAGATGTAGCATTTGAACAACCTATTTTCGGCCATTTACGAGAAGAAGAGCTGGGTAGACTGAAACTGAAATGCTGTACCCACCTCCTTGTCTCGGGGTGACGAAGCCGACTGGACATTGCGTGATTGCTTCGGTAGAAGTTACATCTGTTCTAGAAGATAAAAACCGTAAATAGTGTTATCATGGGAGGACATTGCATCAAAAATTCTAATGGGTTGAAGAACTCAGGAGACACTTAAGTTCATTGAGTTCCACATAGTTCTTAGACCTTTTTCTGTACCTTTCTATTGTTTTGCATGGTTAACAATCCAGAGATTTTTAGAATAACATGAGGACCATTATGTAACTTAAAAATGTTTTTCTTTTTCGTTCTCATTAATATCGTTTTCAGTCTTCGATTTTCGTTTTACAACACCCAATCAAAAGCGCTCCAACAGATCGATTTGGACTCCATTCGGTTCTGTGAACGTGTTATCAAGTACTTAAATGCAATCATTACCCGTAAAATGCTGCTATTGTATTAATATCCGTTTCCACTGCTTTGAGAGCTGCAAGAATCTTTGGTTTTTGAAACCTGAAGAGTTAAATAATCAAAAAATTATAAAAGAGCAATTTTTCTTTTGAGTTTCAAAAGTAATTCGAGATTGCATTGATTTTTCCTTCACTTGATCAAAGATTAGTCGTGAAAATTTGCGCCATACTCTAAAACAATCAAATGTCACATAAAAAACTTCAACCACACGCAACTTGGCAAAGTGCGCTTTCCCGCCCATCAGTGGCCCAACGTGACACGTTCCTTTGTTCTGATTGGCCAATACGATTATTCTGGTTCTGGTTTAAGGAAATCCAATTGTAAAGCGTTCTTATAAGACCCATGGTATTCAAGAATTGATTCATTTATATTCACGAACGAAGGTTTATAAGAATATAAAATTAGAGAGAAGTAAATTCCAACATAAAATAAACCCTTTCACTAACAAGAAATGTCTTTTAACACTATTAATATATTTTCAAGCAGAAATTACATAATAAGCTGCATTATACGTGCGGTTCGTAGTTCTTTCTTATGGTCTAATGGAGGACAGACACATCGATGACGTCTCGATGACGTCTTTGTTACGTAGAAGAAATAAATTCCATGTTCATGCTGTGTGTCCGTTCACATCGACGACGTCCCATTAACAATGTGTTAGTTCTTTATTATGTAGAAAAACAAAATCCCAGTTCCTGTGTGTCCCATGCTCGTGACAAGACGATAAACAGCTTTCTCTATTTCTTTACCGAGCTCGAACTCATTACCTTTGTCATTCTATTTAGATCACAGAAGACACCAAAATGTAGCAAGAACATCGACGGCACACTGTGCTGCGCCTTGTGTGCTACTTTTTTGTTCTTGCCACATTTTGACATCTTCTGTGATCTAAACAGAATAAGAAAGACGATAAGTTTGAGCTCGGTAAAGTAAGTAAGTAAGTAAGTAAGTAAGTAACTTTATTTAGCCACATATCGCATATGAGCGAATAGTTCGTTTAAATGCAAATGTGCCAACAAGAGGTAACAAGAGGTAAAGAAATAGAGAGAGCTGTTGGTCTTGTTGTCACGAGCGTGGGACAAAGAAACAATTAATCCATCTTCGTGACAAGACGAAAAAAATCTTTCTTTATCTGTGATCTATTAGTGAACAGACGCGCGGCAACTTGGAATCTAATTGTTCAGGTAACAAGAGGAAAGAAAAAAATCCACTTAGCAACCTGTAGTGACTTAACACCAAAATCATGAAGCTTAATCAAGAAGACATGCAGCGCTGAGAGAAAGGAGAATTGAAATTCAGATCGCCAGAGGATGTTCAATACTGTCAACGACTCACGTGTCACGAGATAGCTGGTAAAGATCACATAGTCCTTGTAAATGGCACAAAAATTCATCGTAATCTCCCTCCCTACAAAAGAAAGAAATAAATATTTAACCCTTTCCACCGTAACATCAGTGTGCATTTTCTCCACTTTACTGTTCTGCGTACATTTCCTAAGGTGCTTACAAGGAGAATTTGTTTAACAGACAAGTGCTTGTTTAGTTGGTGATCATTCCCTTTATTCTCCTGACTTTAATGTGTACTTCAGGGGAGATATTGTAAGGAGACATTAGATGACAGTCACTCTTAACGGTTTAAGAGTTAAATGAAAAAGATAAGAAACTATCAATTAAAACATGATAAAGTTGGAACAAGGAACATAAGAATCATCTATTGTAAGGGAACTAACCTGGGCTAGTCATTAACTTTTCAACTTACTAGCCAAGTCGGAAGTGACAACTTAAATGTTACAACGATTTCATTTTGTTTACTAGCCAAACCGGCAAGTGGAAATTGAAAACCACTATGATCCAAAACTGAATTTCTACTAATCTGTGGCTAGTTGGCTACCGTTAGGGCAGAGCCCTTACTAACACTCACTAATACATCAAAAAAGGGATCATCAAGTCACAATGTAGCCATTCACTGCAGGGATAAAACAGCCAAGATTTTCTGGCCACTGATCAAAGGTTCATACTTGATCATGTACCATCAATCCAGGGGCTGCTTATTATTCTCCTGTTCCAATTCTGCTGTAGTTGAAGCTTAAAAAGTAAGTTTCATATAGAGTAGCAATAGAAACAGGTTCCCTTGTCTACCTACTCATTTGACGAAGGGATGGAGGGTGCCTATTGGAGAGGGGTGCTTCAAAACAAGGCACTTATTAGAATGTGTGTGCTTATTTTAGGAAATGTGGTAATTACATATTGCATCACTGATGATAAGCTATCATTTTAAAAAACAATTATACCTCAACACTCTTGTCAGCTCAGGACAACTCTGTGGAAAAGGCAAGAATCAAACTATAATCAAAACAAACGAGAGAGAGCAATTTCTTCTTCATCATTAAAATTGACACAAACCAGTAAAATTATCAAACAAAGCCTCTTTCACTCACCTCAGGGTCTCCAGTGTGTGCCACTTTTACTTCAGAAACTGTGCCATCTGCAGCCATTCGAACCTGGATTTCCACAGACATTATGAAAGATTAATTCCACAGGCTTAACCCACTAACTCCCAGAAGTGATTAACATGTAACTTCTCCCTACAATATCCATACATTATCCAGCAAACAGGTAATGAGAATACTCAAACTTATCAGGTAGAAGTTGTTATCTTGATCTAACAACAAATTCTTGTAACTAATTTAAAAGGTAATATCCAGCATCTAAATGGGAGAATAAACAATCAGATCCTGGGATATAAAAGGGCTAAGAGACTTTTTATTTCCTAGCTCTGTCCATCAACAAGGAAAGACACAAATCAGTTACAAATTTCTAAAAAAGTAGCCAAAATAAACCCTTTAACTCCATTGAGTGACCGAGACAAAATTTTTCTTTACAATATCAATACAACATCAAGCAGAGAAGTGATGAGAATAAGGAAAAAAGGAAAGTTTGGGGTTCATCAGTTGATTAAATACCAAATTCTCCAAACTAACATCATAACAATTGAATGGCAGACAGTAAGGAGAATTTCTAAAGATATGTTGCAAGTGAAAGGATTAAAAACACATTTGACTTCTGACAGCAAGGAAGATAACTTATTCTTGACGATAACCCCTTAAAAAGTTTCTCCACACCCTGATTAAATAATACGCAGTAAAGATGAGAGAAGAGAATTTTATTATTCCATTACAGCCAAGTTGTTCCAGTGAGAGTCATTTAAGAGATGGACTTTCCTTAAATCCCCTTCTACAGCCTAACATCAGTATGCATATTCTCCATACTGTTCTCTATAAATTTCCTTTATTTTGCTGCATTTAATATGTGATTTGTGGGGTGATATTGTGAGGAGAAATTAGATGCTGGTCTCTCTTGGGCTTCAAGGGTTACAAAACACACCTCAACATAAAACATGTCAGAATTTATAAAGCATTCTCTTCCACTTTCAATAAACTTCAACCTGGTGAAAAGTCACAGAAAAATCAGAACTGTTAGTGTTTATAACAATAAATACCGGTACATCAGATTTTCATTGAACTTTGAGAAAGAAAATCTCCTTTTCAAACTTTTCTGGTGAAGCCCTTGAGTCTCTGTGTGATAACTTTTATTTATTTATTTATTTATTTATTTATTGATTTATCTACAATATTAAGACAGGCTGACCCAGTTTAGCTTTGAAGATGGTTCAAATGAGGGACTGTATAAAAAATAACAAGGCCAGAACATAACACTAGGAGCTATGTTTCATACTCTTTAACATTCCCTGCTATGCAACAAATGGGGCCTACTGTTCATTATCCTTATCTGAGAAGACTAGAATGTCATGTAGCAAGGCCAACACAATCTTCTTAGTTATTTTTAGACCCTGAATGTTGGTCTAGTTTGGGGCTTGAACCCTCTATCTCCTGCAAAACATTCCCTCACTCTTCAAAATGAGCTAACCTAGGGCAATTTTGTATATCAAATTTTAATTTAACTTTGAGAGAGAAAAATTTCCTACCCAACTTTTCTTGTGATAGCTTCAAGTCTCTGGGCAACAACTTTTATTGACTTGTCTTTCATAGCATTTTGGAACTTGTCTAAACATTCTGAGATGTAATTTTTAACAGGGGCAAGGTTTTCAATTTGTTGCTGTCTTTCCTGGTTTGAAAGAAGAGAGATTAAGGTTAACTAAATACTTCAATATTTTATGAAAGACAGGTCTTGAGTCTGCACAGAAGTTTCAAAAGCATCAACCAACAAGGTGTGTTGCCACTCTCTCCCTGGGTGCCAGGATGTTCGTCCACAGCAGGCTCACCCTCCTTCCCCAAAAAAATTTTTGTTGGATTCCCCTTACAGTTCTACACAATTAACTTTCCCCATTTCTGAGTGGAGTGAGACAATCTGTTTTAGAAAACAAGAACATGACCCAGCCATAGCATCGATCTGAATACTGTAACAGTGTCCACAAGAACAAGATGGACCATAAGGCTTTGGAGCATATCATGGTCTATAAGGCATGAAGCAACAAGGACTATCCCTGCTCCCCCTTGGTGGGATACCAGTCCCTCACAGTTTATCCCCCCACCCTGTTTTTCAGGCTTCCCTGATGGTTAACACCAATATCCATCCCATTCATACTCCTAGAAAAAGAGAAGTACTGCCCAAAACCATGACACAACAACAACAAAAACCTATCCAGGTCTCACATCAGAACCTTCTGTCCAGGAGTCCAGCAAGCTCACCCTTAGGCTCTGCTTCTTCCACTTCCGAAGGCACTGGGAGGGAGGGGAGCTCATGCATTTTCATTTCCCTCTACACAATATTTTTAACTCAAAAGTAAGCCCCGCCCCCCTTGCTAAGAGCAGCTTGTTAATGCTCCCTTAAGCTAGTGCTGTTTTCTTCAGTAGAAAGGAAATAGAATGCCCAAAAAGACAAGACACCTCAGAAATGGTTGCAGAATTTTATGCAGGCATAGAAAAGGTGAAAGCCCCTTCCCATTTACTGCTATAATAAATTACCATTCCCAACCATAATGTTACAGTTTATCCCATGAAAGCAATAAGTTTGCTAAATCATAGTCACTCATGAACTTTGAATCAGAATGATATCCTCAACTTGATCACACCAACAATCAATATCGTGAAAATTAACAAGACTTACCAAAGAAGCTCTAATGGCTTTGGCAGGGTCAGGCCAGCTTGCACAGCTCTTACACTTTGATCTTATACTGTTCAGCAAGTCATTAAACTTACTGTGTTCCAAATAGAAGTTTAAGGATCCAAAGGCATGAACTGAAAAACAAGAGAGTGTTATAAAAAAAAACACTCCACAGCACTTACAAAGACAATTACTGTATTTACTTGAATTAGCACCGCCCTCGATTAAGTGCTGCCCTCGAATAAGCGCCGCATCTGGGACAAAAAAAGTTAATAAATGACGCCCTCGAATAAGCACCACACCCCAATGCGGTGCTTATTTGAGGAATTCCATATAACCAGGAAAAACACTATAAAACAATTTTAACACAGCATCGGCAATTTATATTCTTTGAATGTGATGTTCTTTAGTTCAAAGTGACTGTATTTCCCTGCTCGGGTTTTCATGAAACACTCGGGGGTTTTTCAGCGCATGAATGTCTCTCGTAATTCTAGATTTACTATCAGTTCAGCACCAGACCAAAGGAAAATTGACAGATAGAAAGTGTACTGTTGAATAAAAATATAGAAAAAGTAAATTTGTCTGGTACAATTTTTAAATAAGTGCCGCCCTTGAATAAGCGCCACCTTTGAATAAGCGCCACCCTCGAATAAGTGCACTTGTGGCCCGAAAATTTAAATAAGCGCCGCGGCGTTTATTTGAGTAAATATGGTATGTCTTCAGCTCAGCCTGGTTATAATCTTTATAATTTATACCCTAATATCAGTATGCATATTCTCCATACTGTTCTCTATACATTTTTTAAGGTTCAGATAGGGAGAATTTGTTTAACAATCATGAGCCCCTTTAGTTGGTGATCTTTTTCTTTATTCTGGTGACCTAAAATGTGTGATCACTCTTAAGGATCAAGGGCTCTTGTTTAATTCAAGGGTAATAAAGAAAGGAAAAATTGGATGCATGGCTCTTACAGGGGTTAAAAGATCGAGTCACTCCTCATGATCATAATTAAGAACAAATCAAAATTCATATAAAATTCAGCATGTCATATTAATATCTATCCATCTATTCTTGTATAGGAGGAACAATCTTTAACTGTGAATGATCTGCATAAAGATCAGAGGGACTAGAAACCAGGACGAATCTTCGCAAGCGAAAATGACTCGACAAACGAAGAATTTTGTTCATAACTACGAGTTTCAGTGATCTGCGGAACACAGTTCTGCAAATCATGGAGGTGGACCAGAGAAGTATACTTCCGGGAAATGTAATTACTGCGCTTATCCGTCTCAATGTTTACAAGAAAAAAACTAAAAGAAACTCCTACGTCTCAGTGAAGAGTTTCAAGCATTTCGTAATTGGGGTAGAACAAAAAAATAATAACAATACGTTAAACTATTCCCAACAATTATAAAAGGCATTTCATCGATTGTTATGGTCCTCTTTAGCCCTCTGATTTTAGAAGTTTTCTCCGATCGCCACTTCAATTGATACTTACTTTTAGTGCCATCAAACTCCTTTCCTTTCAATCCAAGCTCTTCTTCGTAGCTGTTAACAAGTTCCTTTAACTGAAGACAACATGATCCACACGTTTTCGTGTCAACTGCGGCCGCCATTTTGTTTTAGTAGCAGTTGTTGTCATGCGTGTTTGACCGCTGATCAACCCTTCACGAATGCTCAAGAGACGCTAGTGTAAAATGCCGGGGGGAGGGGATCCAGCACAGAATTTAATTTTGTTTTATCATCTGAGTCGATGATGTCAATTGACCAGTGTAAAAGATTTCCAAAGTTGTCTTTTTCGAGCGTTAACCCTTTGTCAAAGCGTAAGGCTAACGCTCAAAACGCCAGCTCTTATAAACCATTTTACGCTATCACTCCCTCAGTTGATAAAACCAATGCAAATTATTTTGGCATACCTCCCTAACGACGCAGCACCACATTTTCTTTAGAAACTTACCCTTCGTCAGCCCAGAATTTCCTGAAGAAATATTTCACTCAGGATCTGGAGAAATGGAGTTATCATTGCTTAGTTTACGTTTTGAGAGACATTCGTTGTCGGATGGTGGCAAAAACAACACATCTTGACTTGTTATCCCAAACATAATTTTGACCCTGATGACTAATGACTCTTGACTAAAAATTTTGCATGTAAATTTATTGGTTCTGAAGCAAATATCAATAACTGGGTAACTCTTGAGGATTCGCAGGAATTGGTAAGGTTTTTCTTCGCTTCTTTCTGCGGTTGGTTGGTTTTGATGATTCGCACCACACTTTCCAACATCACACGTTGAAAATGATAATGATGTGCACTGCGATATTACGAAATGTACATGAAAGCGATCTTCATCATCATCCTTTATTTGCCTTATTTTAACAATAAAAATATTTAATTACAGCAATAACAGTTATAAGGCGAGGAGACCCAAGAAACCACCAGCCTTATGAGAGAGCCACCTCTCTTACAATAATAAATCACTGAAGTAAAGAACACCACTTAAGTAGAAATGGTGATTTGGTCATTCGTGTTTCCCAGGGCAATTTACGATTGAGTGTCAAAAGTAATCTGGGATGGCTTTCTGATCTTATTTAACTTTACGCTGTGATTGGTTGAAAGTTAGAGGCCAAAATCCGGATAAGCAAGGAAATATACCACCGACGTATAAAAGGGGTTGACAGGTTCAAGTTAATTAATGCACAGGAAATGAAAAATATCGGATAAGCCAAGAATCGCGTCATATGGAAACGTCATATAACCATATAAGATTACCGAGATACTACGATTGGTTAAACTTTTGTCGTTTAGTGCACTGATAAACCCGTAGTTTAACTTATAAAAGTAATAGACCTCACTTTCTATCGCTTTACCGCCGCGTACTATTGCATGAACGCCCGAATAATTTGTGAATCACGCTCGGCGCCGGCCGGCGTGATTTGCAAACCTTTTTTCGTATTCTTCCAACATCCATCGTGGGTTATTTCGCTGGTATACCGATATAAAGTGTAGTTTATCGCTCAAGTATATCGTGACGTTGAGCAAGTTATATAATCACAGGACTTTTTGTCAAAGAAAGAGCACTATCGATTTTCGCTTTATGCCACGGCATCCAAGTTTTCTAAACAATTAAAAGTTCCGTAGGAAGGAAAAGAACGAAATAAGAGAAAAAATTAAGAGATCAAAATGTTTGAGTTTTGATATAGTCCGGAAAACAACGACAAAAACGTGAAGGATTAGTTGGAGACAATCATGTCTTACGAACGTAGAGAGATAATCCTTGGTAAACACACACTGCTTTGAAATTGATTTCAGCAGCATGTTAACACCTTATTGTGTTGTTGACACGCGATGCTGAGGTGACCCCAAAGTATTGTACTTTGGGGACTGAGTCTGAAGAGTTTAAAGCATCAATTATTTATTTATTTATTTTTTTTTTTTTTCACTGTTTGGAGTCAAATTTCCAATTTCTTCATTTCTACTGTTTCATGGGATGTGATTGCATTTTTGTTGTTTAGGTCTTCATTTAATGCACAAAATTCCCGTTAATTTCTTTTTCTCAGAGATAGGAAACAAATAAGTTTTTGAGGGAAGTTGTGCAAGATTCTGTTAAGTATATTCACCAGTTCTTAGGATTTAGGTATTGTCAGTCATTCCTTTCTCTTACTATACGAAGGTTAAACCTCCAGTAGTAAGGTTTTAATAAAAGAATGAACAACATATACTGTTACAATTTTAATAGTGCTTCGATAGGAGAAGTACTTAATCTTACAGCTGTTTATCTAGATGACTAATGTCTGGAAACTCGGACAAACTGACCATTCTAGTTTACTAATAAACTTAGCTTTTCCAAGCATGTATCCTACACAATTAAACAATTTATATGAATCGATGAGAAAGAAGTTCCATAGTTTATACGTTACTTCATATTTCAAGTACGTTACTTTTCATCATCTGAACAAGAGCTGCTAAGACTACCCCTCGAATGACCGACCAGGGGCGAAGTTTCGATACTTTCCAAAAACGAGTTGACTCTCTCCGCTAAAGTCATATCACCTGTGCTGAGACTTCGTCTCCGCGAGTTCAAATTGTTACTAAGTCCTTTTAGCGGGAGAGAATTTACCGCTTTGAGACCTCTGCGGCTCGCAAGAGGTGTCCCGTAACAATCTTGTACTGTTGATTTAAGCGCAATCCGGTTTGATGGAAGTTTTAAATCTTCCACAACGCCATGCGATTGAGTTCTGCTTCGTCTACGGCCAGCAAAGATATTCAAACTGTCATTGTTCTCCTTGACAAGAGTCCTTCGCCTGCCCCCAGGGCTGTTTGTGTCCATTATCGAGGGAAGGTGAGTCAGTATTTGTCCATTTACTTCACTAACCAAATGCAACTCCGGAGCAGTTCGGATATTTTCCGTACAGATTTCTATCGACAATTTACTGTTGGTATCCGTCGAGTTTGGAAGCCTCGGAAAACGAACACATTCACCGTCCATCTTAGAGCTTGCTGTCGATGATGACGAACTCTCATTCGATTGTGTTCTGCTAAGAACAGTTTTCCGCAAACTTTGCATTCGTGATTGCACCTTGTTTTTCTCCGCCGTGTGTACTTTCTCGGTGTTATTCTTAAACAGATCGATATCACGCTGCTGCTTTTCGAGTCGTGCATTCTCTCGCGCGTTCAAAGTCTCAGCTCGCATTTTGCGGTCAAAACTTCCACTAAGCACCGCTGATTTTAAACTTCTTGACTTCTCTCTTCCCAATTGGGCACTCATTTTGGTTGAATTTAACCCTGATCACAACTCGCAATCGAGATTTCTCCTGCTTGTTCTTGAGGGGTCACAGTAAGTGTTGTGGTGTCACCGGTTAATCCAAACTTTTTGTTAGACTGTAAATCTTGTGTTGTTCTATAACACGTAGCGCTCCACATCAAAGCACAATGTCAAGCCAGTGTTGTATAGGCCATTGAACTGACTAATTGTTCAAAAGAATTAGCGTGGAACTTTCTTGAGGCTACGTGATTGTTAATAAAACTTTGTCCATCCCTCACGAATATTACCCCTTGGTATTTCAACTATTTGTCTACAACAATCAGGAAACTTTTTTTTTCTCTGCTTACAAAGGTAACTCGATGTCTTTGTTTTCTATAAAAACTGAAAGATCGACAAAACCATTCCTGTGTTAGACGTGGTGCGCGAATTTTAAATGCGCATTTTAAATTTTCTCGCTTTTTCTTGATAATTAAACCGTATCATTGTAATGCGAATTATTCCACTTGAGTTCACATGAATCAATACTGGATTGAAAGCTAAACAAGAGCTTTATAACATACCACAGGTTTCTGCTTTATTTATCAATGTAGCCGATCCAATCACGTCAAGGAATCGCTTTAACTGTTCACCAGGATAATGACGTCATGTGCATGACGTCACGTCGTCGACTACGTCCTCATGGGAAAGGGGTTGACACAAATCAACGAAGACAAAATGAAAACTGAAGGACATTCTTGTTTTTGTAAGTTGGGACTTTTTGTTTTATCTTTGTATGTCATTTTTCCTGATACTGGCGCTTTTTCGACTTGAGTTGTTTGTCAACACAGCTATCTAAAGGATTCTATTTCTGTTAACATCAGTAGCTCTTGTTTTTCGGCAGTTCAAAATCCTCGCTCCCAGGGTACTCTCTTCTGCCTTTTGTAGTCGATGACCATAACTTTGCATTTGTCAGCATTAAGCTGCATCTTCTGTGCTTCGGACCAATCCTCCACCACTTTAACAGCGGTTTGGGCGTCACCTAATGCGTTACGCGGGACGATCTCTGCCACCTTCGTGTCATCAACGTACTTTCAAGTTTGAACCTGGGGAATTCTTAGATCGTTTATCATTAGTAAGAAGAGCCATTGCCCCAATTTTGTCCCCTGAGGTACACCAGCTGGTACGGGGCCCCACTCAGAGAAACAATTAGCAGATAATTTTACCCGTTGGTAGCGATGCACTAAGAAGTCGACTACCCAACGTGCTACACCCCGAGGGATATCAAGACTGTAAATTTTATGAATTGGCAGTTGATGGTCAATGTAGTCAAAAGCTTTGCGGTAGTCAAACAGGACCACCCTTACTGCAGATCACGTGCCATCAGTTGCGCGCGTCCAGTGATGGAGCATGGACGTCAGAGCTAGGCCGTTCAACTTTAGAAGCAAAAAACCTCTCACGAAGAGTTTTCCGCTCCCGCTTAGCAGTATTTCGAAGGTGACGGAAGCTGGCTAAATCCCCTGACATAAAAGCCTGCTGACGCTTAGCGATTAGAGTCTTAAATTCAGGAGTAATCCACGGAGGGTCATTAAGATGAACCTTAGATTTCACCGCGGGCATGATAGCGTCCAGTCCTGCACTGATGATGTCACACAGTTGTCTAGAGCGATCATCATTGTTAAGGGCAGAATCCAAAATGGACCAATCAACAGCTGAAAAGAATCGTCCTAGTTCGGCTTTCCTACTAGCACGTGTTTCACGCCTCGAAATTAACTTGCTGCTAGGCCCACCGCGGGATGGCCTCTTTTTAGTGCGGACGATGACCACGTTATGATCTGAAAGACCAAACGGTGGCAGGGTGTAAACAGCGTTCTCGTCATACGTATGTGACATTTTGGTCAAAACGAGGTCCAGTATCTTATCGCCTCTCGTTGGCTTATCAATAATTTGCTTCAACTTGAACTGCGACATGAGGCGGCTAAGGCTCAATCGATTAAAATCGCCGCACATGAGTATACAACAACCGGGATACTGGGCCACAATGTCAGTCAGTGTAGTAGTAAGGTGGTTAAGCATACCACTATTGTTAGCGCCTAACTGTGGGTGGTAGACAGTCCCATCAACCAGGCAAGGGAATCGTCTAGGCAGCCTCCTTGGCCTAAGCCACACCCAAAGTGACTCAAAATCAGGGTCCGAAAATTCATCGAGCAGTTTAAATTTGATGGAATCATGGATGTAAAGTCCTACACCACCATGGATATTCACACAACGATTTCTTGCGATAAAGGAGTAACCAGGAATATTAACTTGGCTGTCACTGATGGTCTCACCTAACCAAGTTTCTGTAAACAAACCTAAATTAGGCTTTACGTCCAACATCACAGATCGCACTTCGTCGATTTTAGGCGCTAACGACTGTGTGTTTGCTAGTAAGATGTTCATGCCAAACTCGTGTTCCTCTCGTCGCGGTCGACAGTTTATCACGGAAATATCGGACGGATTACGGCCTCGGGGTGCCTTACTTGAGATGCGATGGCGATTTTGCGATCCGATTGCCGTGACAGGTTGATAGTTTATCGAGCCGATGGGAAAGGTGTCAAGTTGGATATTTAATTGAGACGGAGGAGGAATATGCAAATCACGTCTTTCCGGTAAATTTCCAACGGTTGGTGAACAAAATTTTGATTCCAGAGAAGGTATGGCGCAGAAATTATTAGTACGATGCAGGAAAGTGGTAGAGGAAGGAGGTGTGCATGATCTCCTTCGACCACCACGAGTTCCGCACCGAGTAGGTTTCACCCTCGGGATGCCAAAATGAATTAATCGCCGCCATACACCGGGGTTCAATCTTGAGATAGCGATGGGCAACGAAATAGACTGTAAAATTTGTCTGGAATAGCAAAAAGCCATAGCAGGACGTAAATAGGGCTGTGGCTTAAAGATGGAGGAGAGTCCAATCGAGAATTAATGAGAAATAGGCAAAAACATGCGGAGCTCCCAATGTCGTGTGCTGCTCGTAGGCGCAGTACATGAAATATTGTAAAACGTAAAACCTAGTAATAAAGCTTTAGCAGTCCTAAAATGTCACGCATGAATCAATTGATAAATTTCTTAAAAAGAAGTGTTTTAAGTTTTTTTTTAAATGTAGCAACACTGTCCGCATTTTTCATATGTTCTGGGATGGTGTTCCATAGCTGAGGTGCTGCAGTGGAGAACGCGCGTCCTCCACATCAGTGTTTTTTGGATTTTATGGCTGGAGTGCATAATAGTCAACGGGATGACGATCGTAGAGTTCTTGGTGGGTGATAATCCTTGATCAGAGGTTCCAAATATCCAGCAGATTGTTCATTTAAGATTTTATATGTGATAAGAAGAATCTTGAAATGAATCCTTGCTTCCACAGGTAGCCAGTGCAGCCTCTTTAATAATCGTGTGATGTGATCCGAGCTGCGGGCTACTCTTATCATTCGAGCTGCGGTGTTCTGAATTCTTTGTAGCTTATCTCTCTGGTATTTTGGGATGTTCACAACATACAGTATCCAGAATTTTTGGACCGGTGTTTGAAAAGGAAGTTTATGTCCAAGAATGTAGATATCAGGGATTTGCTAGAGAAGGCGGACAAGGCACTCTACAAAAAGAGATCGAATGACCCCGAATGCCCGTTTCTCCAGTTTTCACCTGAGGAAAAGAACATAAGGTACAATCTTAGAAAGACGTCAGTCTCTGTCCCTAGAATCCACACTGAAAGGTTTAAGAACGTTTTTAGTAATAGGATAATTTTTAAATATGACATGTAATAGTTTCCCTTGTGAGTTTATGTTGTAACTTAGGATATGTGATTTTATCTTAAGAAATAAAGATTATGTTATGTTATGTCATTGAGAACCTCTGGTATGCGTATAATTCGCTAAGGGCCGGGAAACCTGTACAAATATCATGCCATGCAAACTACTTATAAGTAGGGGCGGCGGCCAGCGGATCAGTCAGTCAATAGCCACTTGTAGTCATAGACCATAATGTTCCTGAGCCGATCATACTCCAACGGACTCCTAAAAGACTGGCAGCGAACAAAAAGAAGACACTCCTTCTCAGCTGGTGCTTTTGTTGTCAAAGATTTTTTTCTTTTTCCACTAGAAAACAAGTTGACTAACCTTTTCACGCCGTATTGATTGGCAGGAATAAAGTAATTCAGAAATTTGGCTGCCTGGCCCCGCTAGCCCCTATCGTTAGTGCAGGCAGCCAGTACTCTAACTTATACTTTTTAATATTCTCTTTGTTGTAACTTTTTCTGAGCAAGAGT